TAATGATGGAAGTGTTTAACGGGACTATGGATAATTACGGAAGGTTTCCAAGACGAAGTAGATTCCTACGAAATTGTCAAATATTTCGCAGAATGAGACAAAAAAGGAAACATCATTAATCAGATACATGCAGTGGGAATACGTATATGAAGTCAGAACTTTGAACGTCCTCGTTAAGTATAAAAAAATGCGGTCGAAGAAGCACAAAAAGCAAATAAACCTGCACAAAACCTGTTTATCGTTTATTGAGACTTCAAGGTACACATCTATAAGAACAGGTGCATGAAATAAAAAGGCATATTTGAAATGTAAGTAAATCTACAAAGGGATGTTTTGACACATCAATCAGTCAATATACATAAACACATAAACCAATTTTTTTCTCAATGAGCCACCGATTTAATAATAGTTGCTTTCTGTCTCTATTAAAATCGGTAGCATTATGCAGTTTATAAACATCTTTTTCGGATAACAAATAAGATATCAAAGTGCCGAAAAAACGATTTTTGTGTGTATATATGCAATACCCACGTGTAAACTTCTCAAACCTCTATTTCTTCGAAAAAGGTAGCACGTAAAGACGAATTATATGTGGAATTTAAGGATTTTGCATAATTGTCAATAAACAAAAAAACAGCAAAATAATTATATTAAATATAAATAATCATAATCATAATAATAATAATAATAATAATAATATTAACGATAATCAATAATGACACAAGGGTCAGAAACGTGGCTTATATTTACAATAGGTATCTTGAGTAATTTTGCCACAACAATGGTCATCTTGTGGGTGCTCGCGAAAAAGTCCACGCATGAGAAAAAGACCACGCATGCTGCTACTCGCTTGGTGCTGAATTTATTGATTGCAGACTGGTTTCAAAGTATCAGTTTTATGATGAGCATGTTTTGGACTGCGGAGGGTGAAGTAGAAATAGGCTTATATTGTGATATTCAGGGAATAATTCTTAGTTTCGGAGGGTTATCATCAGGCAAGTATTAGCAAAATAGAAATCATTAATCTAGAAGATTTTTCTAATGTGTTAATAGTATTATTATTTTTCGTATATAGTACTATGGGTTATATCGATAAGCATTTATACATTTCTCGATATTGTGTATGCGAAAAAACCAAAAAAAAATTTCTTGTCGATATCATTTTGTTTAATCTGGCCATTCTCACTCTTCTTGGCATTTGCGGGATATATACAACATCATGATCCAAACCACCGATTCTTTGACGCATCATATGGGATGGACTGGTGCTGGATAAGCAAGTCGTTCAGAGGGTCTTGGATATTTGTGCCATATCCAGTATTTCTCTTACTTTCAACATTAATGGCAATTATTCTTTACAGTAAAATGTTCATGACTTATCGAGACGCGGAAAAAGCAGCAACAGATGATAAGGCTGCATTAAAATTATTGTTTTATCCCCTGGTTTGTTTGTTGCTGTATTCTCCACTCGCTATTTGTAAGTTTATCATTTATTTTGTTGGTTCTTTGATTCGACTTAAATATTTATTGATTTCCCTATCTTATCAAAAGATTTAACAGCTGTTGGATTATTTCAAAGCGGATTTCCTTATGAATTGTAAGTTGAATTTCTGTTTAAATTCTGCTGTCGTCCAAAATTCACTCAATATTGACACTAAATCCTTTCCCCCACCCAAAAATAGTTACGTGGTAGCAGCTTGCCTTTTCGCGGCGAACGGACTCACTGACAGCATAGTTTATGGTTGCATATCTTATGTAGCAAATTCTAGACCACTTATCGGGCACCAAGACACAACCTCAGAAAAGTTAAAAGGCAAAAAACGTGACAATAAACACATCGAACCAAGAAAGCCAGGTGATTCGAACTCACTAAATTCTTTTTTCGAAGACAAGAATCCAATAAATATAATGAATAGTGGCAACGACAACTTGAATGATCTTTTTCCGTTGGGTTCTTCTTCGCAATATCCGGAATCAGATAACGATTTAGCAACACCCACTGTTAAGGCTTCGTTTTATGAGACTATGCTGAGTAATTCCACTCTTTCTCATGAATCTGTTTGATGGTTTGAACTCCGTTTGGATGAGATTAAATGCCTGGCGCAAAATAGTCAATTACATTGGATTGTTCCTTTATTATTACAAAAAAATTATTATATTACAAGTATAAAATAAAAAATATCTTGTATTAACAATTTGTTTAAAAAAAATACTGTATATTCAGCGAATGTTATATAGCAATATAGAAAACAATTAAATATTTTATCAGAGATGAGAAATGAAATATATATATGTATTGTATTTTTATATGTATATTAGATAATAACTTTTATCTCGTTAATGATTTAAAAATGGTTAAAAAAAACCCTCAATTAATCATCTATCGATTTCTTCAATTCTTATTTTACAATTTCGTAGGAATCTACTTCGTCTTGGAAACCTTCCGTAATTATCCATAGTCCCGTTAAACACTTCCATCATTA